TGGTATGCTTGAGTAAATTGAATACCCCTGCTTTGCCTTTTGTTCTAGAAAATGCATCAAATTGATTGAAAGAAGCAATTACGGCACTAGGGAGCAGTATTGATTTTATGAAAGTGTGCAATTACTTTAATTGGAATAACCGTGTCTCCATTAGATGTTGCTAGTAGGCTACGTTAAAAAAAAAAAATGTCTGCATTGTATATAGTTGTTTTGATTTTGAGCAAATTCCATTTCCAGTGCAACCCAACCTTTTGTACCTGATTAGCCTGTTCATTTTCTCTTGTAACCATTTTTTTTTTCTCGGGGCATTCACCAAAACATTCACTCGACATGGCTTCAATGATAATGAAAGTCAATGGGCGCATTAGTGAAAATTCTTTCCGATGTCATATGCTCGGAGGGGTTTTTTTTTTTTCGTGCACGGTGCCAGATTTTTGCATTGCAGCAGAAGCACACAGCAAATAAGAAGCGTGTTTTATGCTTGAATCTGTTGGTTGCCAGGTAAGATTGAAATGCATCTTCTGTTCCAGCAATACTGAGTTAGAATCAGTAAAAAAAAAAAATGAAGGGGGGGGAATGAACAGTGAAGTCAAGCCTTAAATCTGGTTGCATACCATGTGACTTGACATGGAGCAACCAAATGAAAGAGAAAGTGAGAGAGAAAAAGACAGAGAGGGAGAGAGAGGAGAGAGAGAGAGAGAGAGAGAGAGAGAGAGAGCAGTACCCCCATAAAACCATCACTGCTTTCAGTTCAAATAGGTCCTATCATCTCCATGACAACAGTCGTAATGGTAACATGGAAATATATTAATGTAAAACCATGGCAACGTTCTCCAATTGAATTAAGCAGCACCTGTGCACATTACAGAAGAAGATAAAAGACAAAAGGAGCCAGCTCCTGCTTGCCAAGCAGCTGTGGCTTTCAGACCTTAAAAACCCATCTACATTTCCTGAACACATTTGTTTTCCAATGTTTCTCTGTGGCAAATTACCATAGCGTTGAGCAGTTTTTGAGGGGTTTTCTGTCCTATTTGTGCAAACAGATGAGAAACTGGATAATTATGTTCTTTTTTTCCCCCCTTCTTCTTTCTCTCTCTCTCTCCCGTCGACTGTAAACCTGGCAGCGGCGGATTAAGAGTATGTGTGTTTTACCATTAAATCGCGTAATGGCGGGACAATCATTCTGATAGGTAAAAGGGCACGGTGTTTGTGCACAAAGAGACACGCTAGACACGCGGCTATTTTGTGCTCCCCCCCTTTTTTTTTCTTCTTCTTCTTTCTTTTTTTCCATTCAAAACGCAGAGTGTGACAGAGTGAAAGTGGTTGTGTTCTGCCTTCTTTTCTGTGAGCTGAGCTAAAAAGAGAAAACATTATCTACATCACCATGCCATCAAATCTGATGGATTTTATCCCATCCCTCCTCCCTCCCTCCCTCTCCTCTCCTCCCCTCCCCTCCCTCCTCCTTCTTTCTTCTCCCTCCTCCTAGCCTCTGTGTTCACTGGTAATGGCAATGTAGCATTCTCTCACCCTTGAAAATATGAGTCTGTGTGTGTTTGTTTGTGTCTGTAGAAAGGAAAAAAAAAAAAAAAAGGGAGAAAGAAAGATAGAAGGGGTGAGGCTGGCGAGGACACGCAGCCTAAGTGAAATTACTCTTAAAAGGATATTGTTGTTCCCTGAGTGTTGAACAGCATGTTCAATGGCTATATTTTATTCATGCGAGCGAGTCATGTCCAACACAGAGACCTATACAGTACATGTACTCCGGCTCAACTCTGTCTGTCGGTGGTAGAAAATCTTCATCCTGCTGCAAGGTAGCGTCAATAAAACTCTAATCTCCAATCTCTCAAGGGATCCGATGAGAAACTATTTTCTCCACCCTGCTTTCCATTGTGCAACAATGCCACTCCTACCAGGCTGACAGAGGTTCAAACTGTCTCACTGAGTGTGCTTATACATCATAAGGCACTCAGGCCTCCCTGCAGGCACCTTTTTTTCTACAATCGGTCAAAATTGCATAAGCATCTCTTTCAAATCAGCCAGGTGTTTAATGCCGGCAAAGGAACAAAGTGGGGGATTAGCTAGAAATCAACACTGAGGGGGAAATATATATATATAGTCGAGATTGGCTTGCTAGGACACATACAGCACAACATTGTGTGTGCACTGCACCAAAAACCTTGGACTGTTCAGTTTAAAGTACCATCCAGTGACAGCGATGCTTACTTTGCAATAATTTGTTTCACACAAGCGTGAAAATGAGCAGCGAAATTGTTGCAGGTTTTTGACCGTGAAGCACATTTTTTTCCCTGCACATCTTGTAATCACAGACACTCCTCACCACATGAATCCACTTGTGTGAGTGAAATTATAATATTATTGTCCCTTTATAAAGCCAAGGTGAGAAGGCTTTAGGAGCGAAGCCTTGAGTTGTGAGCTAAATACTAAATTCACTTTGTACTCGACTGCTTGTTGGACAAAAAAAAATAAAAAATCATTTCAGTTTCTCTCATTCAGACTTCAGTTAAAAAAAAAAGAAAAAAAAAAAGAATAAAATAACTTTTTTTTTTTTATTCTCCCAGAACAGTGGCTCAGTCAGGATGTTTAGTCTTTCATATGCAAAGAATATTTTACTCCAAAATTGCAGAACTTGTGCCAATTACTCTCCCATCTGGAGTCCTGGTACAAATAATTTTATAACCATATTGCTTTATGCAGGTTCCTACTTTTGTGCAATTGTGTTGATCATAATAAACGAAGGAGAAACCAGCAAAACTTTCATCTTTTCATCAAATCTTCTCAGCTATGCCCCGGCAAACCCGCCATCCTGTTGTATTTTAAATCTGCAAAGTGTTAAGAAATGCAAAGTCTCATCATCTTGGCTGCATATTTGATGTAGATTTATAACATGTAGGTTAACATTTGCCAGTTAACCAGTGAGCAACACAACTTCGGGGTAAAATATCCAGTAAGTTTGATGATTGGTAATATCTGTGTGAGCTAATTTGCTGTCTTAGTGTCAGAAACCCTTAAACTGCCAACATGCGTTGATCAAACAGAACATCCATAACTCATCTGCAGATTTAGGGCCATAGACAGCATTTCAAATAAATTTATGGTGTTATTTTACAGCCTACAGGAGCTGGATAGAGGCCAGTGCAGGCATCATCCTTCAGCACAGATAAAGATCAAGTATGCTTCATTTAATCAGTGGATGGAACATGAGAAGCAAAAGCATTGTCTCACCACCATGCATGATGGAGATTACATGGAATCTGCATGTTTTGACTTCAGCAGAGAGGGAAAATAGAAAAACAGTTTTTGCTGTTTTCTTTTCTTTCCGATCATATCTACACATCTGCATAAATGGAAGATTTCGGCAGCAGTTTACAACAAAGCTGTGAAGGTTAACAGCGCCTGAAAAACGATGTTACGAAAATAAAATGTTGACTTATGACCAAATAAATTCCAAAAAAGTGCAGTCACTGGAAAATAAAAGGTATTTATCGGTTATTATTGCTGGTAGGTCACATAAAAAAAAAAAAAGATGCCTGAATTCAAATTAGCCTCATTTTTTTTTTCTCTTTTCCTTTTTTTCCTTCCCCAACTCAGTAAAAAAAAAAAAAAAAACTGTAATTTGAGCAACTCAAAAAGAATCCTAATTGCTCATCTGAAAGGGACCATGATTGGATGCTCAGATTTCTTTATATAGGAATGACTCACAATTCCTCCGCTTGAATAACAAACAATTTTCACTGACAAATGATGCCATGTGCCTCATTGAGTAGAAATAAGAATCGCTCCTGTTTTCCTACATGGGCACAAAAACATGCACTTAGCCATATGCACGAGATAGAATGTGTCCAAAACGGAATAAAAAAATAAAAAAGAACTCGAATGTCGCTGACGTGTTGTGATGGCGCGGGCGATCTGAACAATGCACTCTCATTTCATTGTTTCTACACAAACAGTGATTTAAAAAAAAGTAACTCACTTGACATTATCGCCATGTGAAAAAACCTTTTTAATGATATGAAAAACAGCGAAGTAAGCTCCTGCAGACTGCAATACATTCTTCTACCAAATGAGAGCTGAAATGCTATAGGCAATTAGAAGAGTCTCTTGAATTTCCTTGAAATGAAGTGCTAAATGAAACGTGGTCAGACTGACAAGTCTGCTCTCTTTCTCACTGAGCTTCTCTGTCTTCCTGCAGCCCTTCGTGCAGAGGGAGGGAAAAGGTATACACATCGCTTTTACCAAATCAAGAGTCAATGCATGTAAGCCTTGGGGTGATTTTCCTTAATTATGCTTCAGGGTGATTTGCAAGGTGGATGACACAATGAGGACATGATGTCAGTCAAATAATATCCCAGCTTTTTTTTCTTCTTCTTGCTGCTGGTTCAGATTTACAGCCGTGCTTTATCTGACTTATGTTTGGGAGTCAGCATTTTTTCCCCCCCTTGTATAGAGTAAATCAAGAAAAAAACAAACAAAAAAAAAAAACACATGGACATAATCTTTTAGTGGTTCAGATTTCCGGGGCTTAAAGTCCAGCAGCAGAGTATGGCAACTGACCACCAGGGAAACTAGGTCATGACCCCCTTGTCTGCAGAGCTGCACTCAGGACAATCTATCACCGCATCTGGTTCGATAGAAATCAAGAAAAAAAAAAAAAAAGAGAAAACATCAGCGTGTGCTTCATAATGCGTTGCCGTAGATGAAATGACAGTCGTGATAGATGGAAATTACTGCTGTTTGTAGTCTTGGATCAGGCTGTTGACACACTGCTGGTTCCCAGGCCCTGCTGAAATAAGCAGGGTCAGTGCAAACCTGGCAGGCGGGTCAAAGGTCAGCAAGCTGGTACAGAAACCAGCCCTCAAGTTTCCTCAGGTGGTGAAGAAATGCAAAGTCTTTGTTTTAGGAAGTCTGGGTGGAGTTTCCCCCAGAAACGTGACTCGTACCAACAGCACTTGTTTTCCTTTTCAAACAGGCAGTAGTGGAATTGGTATTTTATGAAATGATTTTCAATAGATGAATATTGATTCGGAGTAAATGAACAACCTTTAACATCCATCCCTGAGATGCTTTTAGCTGGATGTGCCCTGCAGGCTTTTGCAGCTTTGCAGTTATTTACAGGAAAGGTGCAGCAGACAGGTGGTGTGTGATTAGGAAGAAGCCGATCTCCTCGGTGCACACAGCTGATGGTGGTGCACACCTCGACAGTATAGTGCTGCCAATAAACTGAGAAGTAAGTCACATCATTTTGACTTGTGAATAATTATGGTTAATAAATAGATATTCGTAGTGATTCATCTTTTTGTTTACTATGTACAGTAGCTTGTGTTGCAACATATGTCTGAATTATATACATAAGGCTGAACTTTCTTGGGTTATTTGGAGGAAACTTTGAGCTTTTAGAGTTTTTGGAGTGAGAGCAACATAGACATACAACATAGTGGTATAATTTGCATGTTCTTTACTATAGCTGCCTCTAAGCATTTCAATAAATTCATCAAATTAGGCTAAAGTGCAGATATTAAAACCACAGCATGCGTTGCGCTTTGCTCTGGGTGAGTCATGTGCATCCCAGAAACAACATTTCAGAGAACTGCTGTTTACAAAAATGCTTGTTGTGTCTTTATTTAAATCCACAGTCTACATATTAGAATGACTGTATTAAATGTCTTATTTATTCAATCCTACAGTGCAACTGAAAACTTACTGACCAGTTCAATACTTAAAAAAAATAAAAAATAAAAAAATTAATGATAATTTGAACTACATTCTAAAATAATATCTGCTTGTTTTCAAAAGTTCTAACAAAACTAAAGCTGTATTTTATTTTAAAAGCTGTTCTCTGGGGTTATACTCCAACAGCCAGGCATTGTAAACCTTATCATGAAACTTGTTTAGAACCTGTGTGAAGTTTGGACTAACTTTATCCAAAGTTCATCATCGGGAGAAACTTTAAAACACATTTCTGTTGAATATCTGCAACACCCACATTTTCACCCACAAAACTTTCTGCAGATGAAACTATTGTGCTATTTTCTGTGTAACAGTTAAATAGAAAGTCTCTGTTTAGGAAATAACTATTAAATTGCGTACGTGACAGTTAAAAAAAATAAAAATAAAAATGCTGATAAACTGTTGACGAGGTAACGCAAACATCCTGAACATAATGATGCTTATTGTGGGTTTTTGCCCCCTTTTACTTCTGACTTACTTTCTCTGACTCATTCTGTTTTGCATGTTGTTCTCTGCTGACATTTGTTTCATGTGTCCTGTTTCCTTTATTTTTTTTTTTCCTTTTACTTGCATGTGTGAATAAATAAATGTTAAAGAGCACCCTAAAACCATCAGCGATGTCGTCAAGAATTAGTTGCAACAGCAAAAATTTTACTGAGACCATGTCAAAAGTGATGTAAATGACTACTAGAAAGTGCAGATCAGGAGTATTTCTCTTGCTCTTGCCAGTTTTTTTTTTTTTTTAGCATTCCAGTGCAATCTACTTGCATTATGTTTGAGTGGTTTGCAATTGAAATTCATCAGGGGTGATGTATATATGATTGTTGACAGAGAGACTTGAATGGCAATTACTGAATGGATTGTAGATTGTGCAAATCTGTGACTTAATTGTTTATGAATGCTGGTATAAATTAGTAGAGGCTCTCATGGACATATGTGGCTGCGAGCTACTCTGTGTTGTACGGTGATTTTGAAGCTACTTTAATGATGCATAAATCCAGACTAATGATGTTTAAAAAGGTCATGATAGTTTCAGAACTGCGAAAAGTTTAACGTGAGGGCACATGCGGCCGCTGTAAACGCTGCATCGTGTGTTTTTCGCTGCTCCTCTGTTTGTCAGGAGTGTGAAGTGAGCCTCAAATGAGTGCAAAACAGTCCGTGGAGATGTTCTTCTTTATCATGATGGCAGTTTTGTAAGTCATTTGTTGACATGTCGTACTGGAGTGTCTGCTTTTCACTGCTAAGAGGTTTTCAGCATTTGCTTTTTGGGGAGGTTTTTGGGATTTACTTGTCCAAGGTCATAGAAATATCACACACCGAATCTGTTCTGAGATGATTTTCAGTTTAAATTAGCGCAGCCCTCAGCAATTTCTTTTGTTGTCCCACGCTTTACTCAAATCAGGCATCATTTCTGCGGATCGCTCCGAAAGCCAAATTATCTTATCTACCTTTCATCTTCCAAATTTTTTCATCTGCATCACATTTTTTTATTTGAGATTAAAGTAGGGCTGCGTCTTTGTGCAGCACTAATTGCCAAAGAGCTTCAGTAATTAAAGGACAATAAAGCCTTAGTAGTAATTAGTTTCTCTTGTTTGGTTGCTAGCCCATCAATTGTGCTTCAATAATACTGATCATTAGCATGCGCCTGGGCAGTGAGGGATGCTGGGAAAGGAGCCCTGCACACACAGCACTCCACATTCCATTCCCATGAAGCCATGGCACCGAGCCATGTGGTTAACCCTCTGAGCGCTGGAGCCGGCAAGAGTGGCAGGACGTGCCTACCAGCGAGGGCCCGCGCTGTAAAATAAAGAGGTCTGCGCTGTAACATAATAGGCCCGCTGAAATAATGACCAGCTTTTTGGATTTTAGAAGGTTAGGGAACATAAGAAGTGCAGCAGTGGGCCGAAGCCGATGTCATGGTTTGTGTGAAAACAATTGTACCCCTCTCTGTATTACATGTTCCTTTATCCGCATGCAGGTCCAACTAATGAAAGCCTGCCTGCAACACTATTACAGAGCCATCAAGAGTCTATATTATCACCGTTTTAATGCAGATGCATCCTTAAAAACTGAAATTAGTTGTTTTTCTTTTTTTAAACAGAGCAGCACGAGGAGGCTGGAGAACATTTCAGTGCAGGCACAAGGCTGTATGGATTGTGCTGTAAACTGTGGCATAGTAATAACGCCAGGCAGCAGAAAATGTGCTCTGTTCTGTACTTTGCCTTGACATGATTGAAAGACAATGGTCCCATGGATAGGCCATTTCAACATCAAATGTGCATGCACATCACAGGGCAAGGGTGTGCTATCCATCACATTCAGTGAGCTGTCAGAGGTGGCTCTCACAGCCCCGGCTTCTACTCCACACACATTTGCAACTGTATGGCAATACAAGATTAAACCCCCTTGTACATATTCCACCCTGAGCACAGCGTGTCTTACACTTTCAGAAAGTGTGTGCGTGGTTACAAGTGTGCTGCTCTGCTCTGCTGTCCACGATTTAGTGGATTTTTTTTTGCTTGCACTTCTTTAATCAAAAATAGCATTAAAACTTTAACTACAAACACTAGCAGCAAGACAAAAAAAAAAAATCATGATTGTGGAAATAAGAACAGTTGTGAGTGATGCAACTCCAGAAAACACTTGGCTTTATAAGATTAGAAATAGTTACTCAGAGGCTTTACAGTAAATGGCAGAGAGAGAGAGAGAGAGAGAGAGCACAGAAGTCCATCCAAGTGAATTTTTGCTGCTTTGGAGTGTAAAAAATCACATTTCGAATTTTTCATTTATATGGCTCAGTATCACAAATTACAAAGTTGCTCGGGGAGCTTTACAATCTGAAGCCTGGAGCAAATGAGAAAAAATAAAAATACACAAAAACACGCTCGAACTACAAGAGATACTGTGTTTAAAAAAAAAAAAAAAGAAAAAGAAAAAACCTCCTCCCATCCGCCTTGGCACAATAGACTAACCCAAATGGAAGCCTTTATGAAGGCACTGATGGAAGCAGAGTGCGCTTTATAATGCGCGGCCGTGCACACTACTACATTTCCAGCTAATCAGGAGCGCGCAGTTGCAGAAAGGAGAGCGGTTGCCAAGGCAGCCACCAATCTCCCCTCCCCCTTCTCCCTCCGTTCCTCTTTCCCGTTTATTATCGGCAGAGGTCGCATGGCAGAGGGAAGTCCAACCACTTCTGTACTGGAACCAATGCAAGAATATGCACCTCCATAACAAAGCCTGTATGGAGTCCTGAGAAAGCAGAGAGCAGTTGTTGTGGGGGGAAGAGAGAGAGAGAAAAAAAAACAACAGAAGCTGCAGATTTGTGCAGAGTATATGTGTGTGTAATATCTCATAAGACAGGATCTAAGTTGGAGGTTTTGCATTGTTTTGCCAACACGTGCGTTTTTCAATGAATTTCCACTCGTGCGTTTTGAGTGAGTGAGTGCTTCGCATCCTGGTGCGGGGCTCTGAGGAGGGACTGCGCATCACCAGAGTTTGGTGCCGAAGTTCGGCCGCGAACGGATGTGAGGGGAAGAGTGTACCGAGTCAAACTCACCCACTTGTTTTTTTTTTCTACTTCGTTTTCTTTTTTTTTCTCTCACCGGCTTTGGCGTTTTTT